TTATTTGCTGCATTGACTTTCACATTGTATTACTTTTAAGTTCAAAAGAAATCCTGGCAATGATTTCCAGTTTTCTGTGTAATCTATATAATTCCTATGTTCTGGGTGACAGTGAGTGGTACAGGTAAAATGTGTCTGGTGCAGGTAATTTTCAAAGTTAATGTAACTTACTGGGGCAAAGAAAACTACTAGAAGCCCAGCTTAAGTTCCTTGTACATCAGCATGTGAAGCGGTTCCATTGGGACTCCTTCTGGTTCCCCAGTATTGCATGCTGCGACTCTCAATCCTACCCGCTGCCATTTCCTCTGCTTCGGCGTACTACAATACAATACAAAAATTGACAGAAACAAATATACATATGTCATATGTCAAATATACATATGCGCATGGTAAATACACGAGGTACGTATCAATTTACACATCATGACATTTCAGTAACTCCAAAACTACCTTTATCAGGGTCAGTTACTGATACATCAGCCTGGTAAGTGCCATACATATAATAGGTTGTAGATCTTTTTTAAAACATTCACAATGCTTTTTCTTGCTTTGATTGATGAACTCTTGAATACACAGTGAATTGTGTTTCAATGTATTAGTATATTACAGTAAAAAACTTGCTGTCCCTTTTGGTAGGCTAATAGTATAACTTTGGATAACACCACAACACAGTACCAATTTGATGAGGATAGTTATGGAAGTAAAATATGCCTGATGGGGGATGATAATGAGTGGTGAGAAATGACTTTATCCTTTCCCTTTAATTAATAACTAGGGAGTGACAACTCTGTTTAGCATAAACAGAATGAGGGTCAAAGAAACATGAAATAAAATGCAACTCATGAATCTGTTTTATGACAAAATACATGTACAAATATATGATCCATAATGCCAAGGAGGTTGACAATTTGAATTAAAAAAAAACATTAAATGTTCTATTTTCTATTTAGATACATGTGTATAGGGAAATAGTAACCCGTAATCAAACTAATGCTGTCTTAGTGACATGTATGGTCAATGATGTAATGTCCTTCATAATATGATACCAAGACTCCTTGATAATACTACATCTAGTCAAGTTACAGTGTAACATATTATACATGTACTAGTACTAGTAGTTTGATGCTGCCCAATACTCTCCAAGCAGAGGTTTGGGTTTTGGGGGTATTTTTAGCGTGTTTTCAAACTTTGGTGGGAAAAAAATTCAATGCAAAAGAGAAACCCCGAATAAAAAAGCCTAAAAACACGCTAGAAACTACCCCCAAAACCCAAACCTCTGCTTGGAGAGTAGCTGCCCAACCCCATTCTGGAATGGAATCACCCGGGCGCGCGTACATTTGAATGCCGCCCCCCACCCCCAACACACATACAGACACACACCTACGTATACGTATATACCATTACCAAATCAAATGTATTACATAGGCAGTTGATATTTGACTACTGAAATCTTCTTTTGGCTGCTAGCCACATATCCAAACATATTCACTGGCTATTTGCGAAGAAGAGAAAACAGCCCAGTCGTGCCTCAACGCACGAACGCGGATTTAGGGCTGAGCGTCCAGTGAGCTAGTGACTAACCTGCAGAATATGTAGCCTATAAATGGTCCAGGAATTGGTCCAGGTCAGAGTAGAGATGAAGAGAAAATATAAATCGCCAGGCCGTCCCGTCTGTCGTCCATTTCAGCCAAGCCGGCAACCAACCGCAAGTCTAGTCTCGCATTATCTCGCGACGGATTTTACAACTCTCGCGAGGACTACACCCGACCGTTTATTTTCTATAGTAAAGCAGTGAGGTTACTAATAACGGTCACATCCTAAGAGGTGAAGAGAGCCTCTTAGCTTATTAGTTACTATATAACGGTGGTCACCGTTAGTAAGTAGTTACTATATATGGTATGTGTATGGGCTGAATACAAGGTGTAACACACAAGTACACGATGTAACACACACGTGGTGAACTGTGCGACGTAGTCTGAGGCAGGAGTTTATATATGCTCCCTATAACCCCCTTTTCCTGACCATCTGATGCACTGATCAGCACATGTGACGTCATAATCTTAGGCAGGTGCCTGTTCGGCCGCCCGACGGTTCCCGGGCAGTGAGGTTACGGTGTCGCTTCGGCGTATTTCGCCGAACGGGGCCCGAAGTGTTTTTAACTCTGAGTTAAAATCGATTCGGCGACCGCGCGGGGCCAAAAATAGGCCGGCAGCCGTCGGGAAGCCCGCCGGCCTCCGTCCAGGTCCCGTTCGGTAGTGCCAAAAAACACGCCGAACACGCGCCGAGCGGGCCCCTTTCTTGAATTGTGACCTAAGCATTAAAGCATATGGTGTATGTACGGAACTTTTGTGTGAAAAACTAATCAGTCCAGTCATTGACTTCACGTGAAAAGTTTAAAATGGAGTCTACTAGATGCAACCTTTTAACCACCTTAACATGAAAACCTGAGTTGTTGACTAAAAGGACTGGTGATGATTAAAGTTGAAACGTGATAATGCATTATGCCGCTGAAGAGATGATAGAAAGGGCATATCCTGTTTCCATCTTTTATAGTGAAAACAGCGGAGCCTCCGTACTTTGAACAAAACACCCCATGGCAACTCTAATTAGCGACGTTTGTGTGGTGTACCGTGGTATAATGATAAAAGATGAGAAACAGGATATGCCCTTTCTTTTTCCTTCTGAAGTCACTTTTGTATCAGACATGATTATTTTATTCAGGCTCCAGGCATCGAATCATTACCAGCCATTTGTGTTACATATTAGCCAGAAGAAGAGCATAATGACTGCTTTCTGGTGGTGACATTTTCGCCACCCACTCAGAACTGACAGCCTTCCGATTTCTGCCTCCTGGCTGCTCCAGGCATCTACTTATGAGCTGTCTTGTATTACTTACATATCGCAGAGAGAGAAACTGAAACAATGAAAGAAAAATGAAAAGAGCATATCACATTTTGGCGACGTTTTCCTACATTACGCTTTCTTAGCCCTTCAAGGCAGTAAGACGACTTCTCCCAAACTTTGTGGAAACGGGTGCCACTTCAAGTTGTACCACCAGGCAACAGCTAATGCAGACTGCCACTCATCCTTCCCAATTCAACTTCCACCCTTCTTCTGGTCCCCGACAGCACCCTGCCATGCACTGCTCAAATCCTGCCGGGGTCTGTTACTCATGATACGTTTAACCAGAATGCATTGAGGACGCAATGTCAACGAATGAATGAAGACCAGCAGGATGTGTGCAGTGTATGTCTAGGTGCAATTAGGGACCATAAAAACACTGAATATTTTCACCATAAAGTAAATGGTGTAGCCCCCACACTTTGTGGCAGCCAATTAAAAACACCCTGTGGCAACAACCCACCTCATTTGCAACTTTTTCCTGGTGTATGTACAGTCCAGTCATTGACTTTATGTGAAAGGTTAAAATGAAAGCCTCTACTACAAACGCAACCTTCCAAGTCCAGTTCAACAGGAAAAATTATATTGTTGAATAAAAGGACTGGTGATCCATAAAGATGAAACAGGAATATTATACCACTGAAGAGATGATAGACATGAATGTTTTCCATTTTTCATAATATTATTGAAAACAGCCTCCCAAGCCTCCAAAGCTTATTATACATGTATTTTCTTTACTTGATAGATAGTATTTTCTCCTGGAACCACAACCCAAGGCCAAGGTTCGAATGGGATTTAAAAATTCTACAAAGATTTCTTAAGAAAGTTTGTTCCATATATTGATCGCCAGGTTTTACTGCACAAATGTAACTAAGAAATGTAGACACTTGTTCATGAATGACAAGGCAGATAGCAGACGCCCTGGGGCAATATATTAACCTAGTTACCATGGTGATGTTTGGTAGTTTAAAAAATGCGATTCTGAAGACGCCTCACGGTGGTCAATTTCTAGGGTAAAGTTTCCAATTCTACGGAGGGGTATCAGGGTACCGGTGTTCCACGCGCGGCTTCCGTGGGGCCAGTCTCAACTGTGAATCTTTTCTTAAACAATAATTAACAGTTTCACGGGGACTGTCTTGTCCAAATGTGATAAAATCAGCACTGCATATACCTCAGATGTTGTTGTTTTTATTACAATGCTTAAATGTGTGTGAAATCACAATCACCGCGTGGAATGCTTATTCTAGAACAATCGACGTCAATATCCAAACAACTGATTGAAACCGACCCCAAATCTTCCAGCAAATCCCACATTTTTGCATTTTTAAGAACAGTATAACAAAATTAAGATTTGAGTCGGACAGTTGTCTTTATTTCGAAGTTAAAGTGTTCCTAAGGTCGAAAAATTCGCAAAAAAAAGCGTTTTTTCAACTTCAAAGAACGAT